AAGTCCTTTTATGGATCAAAAACTGGCTAATTAATAGAAAACAGAGAGTGAGTATAAATGGGCAGTTCTCCCAGTGGAGGGGTGTAAGCAGTGGGGTACCACAGGGATCAGTACTTGGTCCACTGCTTTTTAACTTGTTCATTAATGATTTGGAGTTGGGAGTAAGCAGTGAAGTGGCTAAATTTGCGGATGATACAAAGTTGTTCAGGGTGGTGAAAACCAGTGAGGATTGTGAGGCACTCCAAAGGGATCTGTCAAAGTTGGGCGAGTGGGCGTCAACATGGCAAATGGGGTTCAATGTGGCCAAGTGCAAGGTGATGCACATTGGAGCCAAAAATCCTAAATATAAATACACATTGATGGGGTCTGAACTGGCAGAGACAGATCAAGAGAGAGATCTTGGAGTTGTAGTAGATAACTCACTGAAAATGTCGAGACAGTGTGTGACTGCAATAAAGAAGGCCAATGCTATGCTGGGGATTATTAGGAAGGGTATTGAAAACAGATCAGCCAATATAATAATGCCCCTATATAAATCAATGGTGAGACCTCATTTGGAATACTGTGTGCAGTTCTGGGCACCACACCTTAAAAAGGATATTATAGCTTTGGAAAAAGTGCAGAAAAGGGCAACTCGAATGATAAAAGGGTTGGAACACTTTCCCTATGAGGAAAGGTTAAAGCGCTTAGGGCTCTTTAGCTTGGAGAAAAGACGACTGAGGGGTGACATGATCGAGGTTTATAAGATTATGCATGGGAAAGAGCAGGTAGAGAAAGAGGTACTTTTCTCCCTTTCTCACAATACAAGAACCCGTGGGCACTCCATGAAATTGCTGAGCGGTCGGGTTAGAACGGATAAAAGGAAGTACTTCTACTTGCTTCTAATGTACTATAAATTGTTTATTTTATTGTAATTTATTGTTTTAATCATTGTATTGTTTTAATCTGGCACTTAGTGCCCTGTAAGCCGCCCTGAGCCTTCGGGGTAGGGTGGGGTAGAAATTCAAATATAAATAAATAAATAAATAAATAAATAAACTCACTGCCACAAGAACTGGTGGTGGCTACAAGCATGGACTGCTTCAAAAGGGAATTAGATAAGCATATGGAGCAGAGGTCATCAGTGGCTATTAGCCACAAGGTATAGATAGGGGCTCTGGGGCAAGTGATGCTCTGTCATCTTGATGCTTGGGGGGGTCAACAGTGGGAGGGCTTCTACTGTCCTGGCCCCACTGGTGGACCTCCTGATGGCACTGGTATTTCTGGCCACTGTGTGATACAGAGTGTTGGACTAGATGGGCCTTTGGCCTGATCCAACATTGGCATCTCTTATGTTCTTATGTTCTTATGCCTGACATTTCCCCCAAAAGCACTTTCCTGGCTTGGCCTTAATCTTGTTGGGTTTGGACTGCTACAGTGGCACTGGTTCTCCTGGGCTTGCAAAAATGCCCCCCCCCCTTTCAGGTTCTACTGCAGAGATTCTCTGGCTTGATCTTAGTCCTGTTGGGTTTGCAGCGCCACAGTAGCACTGGTCCTGCTGCGCTTGAAAAAATGTCCCCCCACCAGTTTCTACTGCAGATACTTGGGGACTTTGATTCTGTTCTGCTGGGCTTCTACTGCCCTTCCTTTCTTGCCGCTTTTTCTTCTGCCTCCATTGGAAACAGTGGAGGATAATGGCACCTTCTTTTTATTTATTTTTATTTATTTATGTATTCCTTCGATTTATATACCGCTCACCCCCTAAGGGCTCTGAGCGGTTTACATCATACAATTCAAACAGTTCCTACCTAAGGGCCACACACATACAATGGAGGGGAGTGACTAACCTAACAGGCACTCTATAGCGAAGTCTTGTTGTTACAGTCTCTCTTGCGGGAGGTCTTTTTCCCAATCCGGCGTCTTCCTGGCACAGGTCTTCCTTCGGTCACCGCGATTCCTCGGGCTTGGGCCAAGGGCACGTCAGCGTATGCTCCTACTGCGGCCTCCGTTCCTGAGGGGGGAGGGGCGTAGCACGGACCCTGTAAATCCAATCCTCACCAAACTTGGCGGGGAGGCGAAGGAGAGTCATCCGGGGATCCCCAGTGGATTTGGAGTTTTCGGCTTGCACAAAGTCCATTCTATACACCCCTGAACCTCCTCCTTTCATTTCCCCAGAAACCCCGTTCCTGGGGGCACCTCCTGTTGGGTGGCCTTAACTTGAACCCCATATGTCAGCTGGAGATTCCCAGCAAGTTTGGTGTCTCTGGCTCACCCAGGGGCTGTTGCACTGCCTCATGAACCTCATGAACTAAATCAGTTCATTTAGTGCCTCAAAAAGTTCATTGTGGTTCATGGTTTGTGAGCCGGGGATGCTACGAACCACGAACCAAACCACATTTTCCCGGTTCGTGCCCATCCCCAGAGAAACGTTCTCTCTGCCCACCCTCTGCTCTGTGCAGAGTTTTGTAAACCTCATCTTTCTTCCCAGCTGAAAAGTCCCAGCAGACCCTCCAGCCTTTCCTCCCGGGGAGGGGGCGCTCCGAGCCCCTCGATCACCTCAGCTGCCCTCGTCAGTCCTTCTTCTAGATACCGGGACCAGAACGACATACCCGTCTTCCCAAGGAGGCCGCCCCATAGCTCTGTGCAGGGGCACTACAATAGTTGCTTCATTTTCAGCCCCTTTCGTGGTAATCTCCAGCACGCACGGACCTTGCCTTTTCCTTCACTGCCACGCACGGGGCTGTCACTTTCACGGAGGCATCCACCACGACCCCAGGGTCCCTTTCCCTCTTTCAGCAGGTTCAGGCCCCACCACCATAGACTTGGCTTGGGACAGACGTCACGCTACCTGGCCTGTAATTTCCGTGTTCCCCTTTGGACCCCTTTTAAAAAAAATTGATGTAACATCTGCTACTCTCCAGTTCTCTGGTACAGAGGCTAATTTTAACAGGCTATATATACTGGTTAGTAGATCAACCACAACACATTTGAGTTCCTGAAGGGGACCCTTGGGTGTCTGCCGCCTGGACCCAGAGGCTCGTTGGCTATTAAATTGCCTGATAGTCCTAGAACTTCAGCTCCCATTGCTTGAATTTGACTCGGTTCTTTCGACTCCCTTCTGGGACATGGTGGCTGTAGTGTGGGTGCAGGCCTCATACTTTCCGCAGTGAATCCATTGAGCTTCTCTGCCATCTCCCCATCCGCCTTTAGCAATCCCTTTGTCCTCTTAATGACTCAGCCTCGTGCTGGCTCTCAGCTGGTGCCCCGCCACCACCTGATCTACGGTTCCAGTCCTGGTGCAGTTTCCTCTCTCTCTCTCTCACACACACACACACCCGTACCCGCCTCTTCCTCGTGTTGAGCCCAGGAGACGGGAAGGCCGCCATGCTCAGGGTAAGCAGGAACTGCTGGCTGATGCCTGGCAGGGCCAAATTCTGCAGAGTTGGGCCCTAGTGTGAGCCTGGCCTCTGGAGGCGGAGGAGGTCCCCAGGCAGCTTTGCCGTGCTCCTCAGTGGCCGTGCCAACGTGCGGTCAGAGCCAAGGACACCGTGGAGGGGCCTGCACTTCTGTGCCAGGAGGATATCTGCCTGCCTGGCAGCGGGAGGCTCCCGTGAAGCTGCCTCAGTCTGGACTCCGGTGGAGCCGGCTGCCCCAGCCCAGGAACTATGGCCACCCGCCCCCCCCCCCCGCCCCGCGTGGCTCCTGCTGCTGCTGGCCCGGCAGTGTTCACGCTCCTCCTCCTCCAGGAGATCCCCCACACCATGGGACGGCCCTCAGTCCCAGCAGCACAGGGAAGGGCAGGGGGCTCCGCCTTCCTCCTCTAGGACCCCTCCCTGCTGCTGAGCTGCCTGCCACACGGAGGGGGAAGCCCGGGGGGGGGGCTGCTCTGGAGCCAGGAAGGAAAGCGCTCGCCGACAAACGTAAAGGGTGTTCCCCCCCCCCCCCCCCGTCCCCGGGGTGTGTCTTGAGAGCATCCCCAGGCCAGGGTTGTACCCAAAATTATCTGTTTCAAGTTGGCTCAGGGACACCCAAAACACTCCTGGCACTCTGGGTCCAGTCGACAGGAGTATATCCCCCCGCGGCCGTGAGGCCTGAGGGTCGGGCAGAGCCACCCTCCGCCCAGGGCCCCCTTTGGATGTCAGAAGGGAAGGGGCCAAAGGGGGGGCCCTGGGCTGACCCACGCCGGCTGTCTCTCTGCCCCAGGCTCCCCCCACCCCCACTGACCCTCAGCCGGGAAAGGGTGGGTGGGCTGCCAGACCCCCCCCCCCGGGGCCTCCAGCAAGGCTTGGCTGCGGCAGAGTCCGGCTCCTCCCCTGCCATGGTGTGTGTGGGTGTGTGGGGGGGGCGTTTATGAAATAACAGTACAGCGGTACATGAACCAGGACTGCTCTTCTGAAAAGTCCCTCGCTCCTCTTGTGAAGAGATGCCTTTTCTTGAGTCCCTCTCCCATGGCAGAGGCCTGAGGGCTGGCCTTCATTGGCCCCAGCTGCCTCCACGGGGAAGGGGGGGGGGCAAAAACCATGGCCCCAAATTTTCAGCACAGCCCCCTAGAAGTCCCTGGGCCGGGGGGGGGGGGTTGTCCTGAACTGGAGACAAGACTTCTGAAAAACCAGGGTAATGGAAACAGTGCCCTACATGGAGTCCTGACCTGAAATCACTGGGGAAATGTTTGCAGAGCACCTGCTGACACCCCCTACAAGGGGAGGGAGGGCCTTGGTCCTTCGGTCTCCTGCCTCCACCACCCCCAGCGCCAGTGAAGAACAGGCCACCCGCCCTTGACCACCCGGTCAGGGAAGAGAGAGGAAGCAGGCCCAGCCTGTTGGCTTCGTCACTGTTGTTTAATGTTCATCGAGGCAGAGGATGTTCGATCAGAGAGACTCCCCCCCCCCCCCCCCGTCCCGAAAGCAGAAGCCCCCCCCCC